TAAGTGCTGCAGACCTGATGCACACGTTCAGAAATTGGGACGGTTCTGGGGAGAAGCAGGTGACATTCCTCCTACCGTGTTGGTCTACTTGGGCTGCCATGACAACATACCAGGGACCATGTGGCTTAAAACACAGACATTTCCCGCTGCTCTGCGGGCTGGAAAGTGTGAGGTCAGGGCACCAGGTTGGTTGAATTCTGATAAAACTCCTTCTCCTGGCTTGAGGACAACTGCCGTCTTACTGTGGCCTCCAGTGACGGGAAGGAGAGCGAGCTCTCCTTTCTCCTCTTAGAAGAGCATTGGTCTCATCATGATGTCCACTTCCGCCCTCCCCTCCGCCACACACACCTCCTCTAAACCTAATTAAATCCCAAAGCCCCATCTCGAAATGCCATCATGTCGGGAGTTAGGACTTCAACATATAAATTTGGGGGGAACACACCAAGTCCACGTGCCAGCTCAGTCTCCCAAGACGAGCTCTGGAATCCCCGTTGCCACAGACTCGTGGAGAAATTGAGGCCGTGGCACTCTGAGGAGGTAACTTTGGCCTGTGATGCTGGAGGTTCCGATGAACGTCTTTGGATTTACTGTAAGCTGCTTTGTGACATGTGGCAAATCCGTTCTCCTCTCTGCTTCCTGGTCTCTCTGACAGGAAAACAGTGGACGGTCCTGTGTCGCCCTAGGTCTCTCCAGCTCTTCCAGTCCCTAATTCTATGGTGGTTGGGTTTTTATGAACTTTAACCAGGTGTGCTTGGCCCATTGGGGCGGGAATTAGGCAAGTCTGGCCAGCCAGCTCCTGATTGCATCTCTGTGTTTCCTCCCAGCCTTCCCGGTGCTGTCTGTTGTTCCTTGGAGCATCGCCCGTGCACAGCTGGAGAACACAGGGTAGATAACTCACCTGTTTACACTTCCACAAGCTAGCAACTCCCAGATACGCCAAATATAAGAAAATACATGATTTTCCCAAAGAGAAGATCCCCTCCCTTCTACTTTGACCATCTAGAATAGACTTAAGAAGGTAGATAAAACCATCAAAGATCCTTCTTGTAGTCATTAGTCTATTAATTTAGTGACACATACAAATTAGGACAAAAAATGGCTGCTTAGGTTGGCAGCAACCCTGGGTGTGTACAGATGTAGGTACAGGAATGGTTATTGCATCCACATTCACGGTGAGGGAAAAGGAGCAAAACCAACCAAATGAACCCCCCCCCCGAACATCCACTGACATGGAAATCATTAAACTGTGGCATACCCAGAGGGTGGGCTAGTATAAAGCTACTGAAAAAGCCAGTGAGTTCCCTGTATCTTGGCTTTTAGGGACTAAACCTCCACAGCACATTGTTAAGCCTGTTGCTGAAAGATGTGTATCATATGATCCCATTTTTTCCCCTCTAGATAGCCACCACCGAAAAATCCCCTCTACAGGCACATGTTAGCGATATTGTGGGCTCTGTTTCAGACCACCGCAATAAAGCGAATATCTCAAGAAGGCGAGGCACATGAATTTTTTGGTTTTCCCTTTCATATGAAAGTGGCGTTTGCACTCTGTCGTAGTCTGTTCAGTGAGCAGTAGCATTATGTCTGAAAAAACAGTGTGCGTACCTCAACTTAAATACCTTATTGCCAAGAACAAATTTCTTCTGTATGGCACAGGGAACTATATGCAATATCTTGTCATAACCTTTAGCGAAAATGAATATGAGAATGAATATATGCATATATACATGGGTATGACTGGGACACCACGCTGCACACCAGAAATCAACACATTGTAACTGACTATACTTCAATTTAAAAAATGAAAAAATACCTTACTGCTAAAAAAAATGACAATAGTTAACATCAAAGATGACTGATCACAGATCACCACAGCAAACATCGTAACAGTGACAAAGTTGGAAATATTGAGAGAATTACCAACGTGTGATGCAGAGACACCAAGTGAGCCCATGCTGTTGGAAAAATGGCGCTGATGGATTTGCTGGACACAGGGTAGCCACAAACATTCAATTTGTGTATTTAAATAAAAGCTATGTCTGCAAAGCACAGTCGGGGGCAGGGTATAGCTCAAGTTGTAGAGCACATGCTTAGCATGCACGAGGTCCTGGGTTCAATCTCCAGTACCTCCTCTAAAATAAGTACATAAATAAACAACTCCAATTACATTCCCCACCCCCAGGAAAAAAAAAGTCGTGCAAAGCACAGTAAAGGAAGCCCAGGAAAATGAAGTATGCTTGTCTAAGAGTTTATGTTTGTAGGAACACAGAGAAAACTGTGGAAAGTTACACACCAAGATGTTAGCATGATGAGCACTTCACTAGTAAGAAGAGTCAAGAGTACCATCCTAACAGGAAGGGACTGGAGTCCGCCCCTCCCCTCCTGCCCTTTAGTAGAATGGTGGGAGGAAAATGAGTCTTGAGTATGAGCATCCTTCTTCCAGAGGGTGTGAGCCCTTCCATCAACCTTGTCTCGATTGTAAGTCTTCTGTCGCCTGCTTTTTGCCGTAGGTGCTGGGTAACCAACAGGAATAAGAGTATCTGGTGGATCATCCGAGGACCCATGCTGCTGTGTGTCATGGTGAGGGCAGCCCGCCCACCTTCTTCCTCTCTGAGCTCTGCAGCAGGAGAACCCCGCCCCCTTCCCTGCCACCCACCCTGTTCTCTGGCTCAGAATGAACCTGGGCCAGGTCCCCTGAGATGGAGCTGCTGAGCTGTGAGTAGGATCTGTTGAAGGAGAAGAAGCAACTTAGAAAATTCTGTCTCTTTGTTCTGACTCAGTCCCGAAATCCAGGCTTATACTATCAGCCTTCTTCCCTCTGGGTTTTCAAACGAGGTAAAGAAGCCTGCAGTCAGCTCAGTGACCTCCTGTATGGGCTGGCTGTGCTGTGTACAAGGCCCTGGGGTTAGTGATTTCAGTCACAGATGAGCCCAGGGCTGGCAAAGCTATCGGCCTGGATTTTAACACCACTAGCCAGAGGGAGGGGAGACAAAGGAAGCTTCTTTTAGAGGAAGAAAACATACAATGGATATTAACCCAAAGCCCTGGTGGGGGTGGAGTCGAGAGATGCTGCTGCTCTGAGACCTTGGGGAGGAAGGACCTCTGTTCTGTTCCTTAAGGCTCAGAATTTGGGGGAGGAGGAGAGACTGCTCAACCCAGAGTCCTAAAGCTCCTTTTGTTTTGTTTGCTTTTGTTTTTCTGGGGAGAGAGGTAATTGGGTTTACTTATTTATTTATTTTTAGAGGAGGTACTGGGGATTGAACCCAGGCCTTGTGCATGCTAAGCATGTGCTCTGCCGCTTGAGCTGCACCCTCCCCCACCTAAAGCTCCTATGGATGACAGTGTGTGAGAATGATACCCGCCAGAGAAGTCCAGGGGAGGGGCAGGGAGTTAGCGAACAG